GAAATTCGAGATGGCAATTGGTTGTATCCGTGTCATCTTCCTAAACAAATTTGTCATGAGGCTGCTGGTCAGTAAACTTTATTAGCGTCAATATATTTAGCATTTGTGATTCCTTAAAGTTGCAGAAATTGAAGTTAGTAAAGCTATAGTATTTTGTGTTGTTTATTATTTTGGAAATTTTCGGCCTTCCGTTTGAATAGAATGCTATTCATTGTACTGATAGTTAGTGCGCCTCAGCCAACAGGAATGAAATGGCATTTATTTTTTGTTACCAACTGTGAGTTACATGTAACCACTACGGTTAATTTTGCCTGAGTAAATATGATTACTTTATCTTTTGGAGGATGAAATCATTCCTATCTCAGATATGAATCTCCGTGTTATTTCAGGACTTTTTGAACAAGTTTCAGCGGGCAAAGGATGCCATGGAGTATGCCAGAAAAACTGCAGCTGAGTCAGCCAGTGCAACAGTGAGTCACTAGCCGTTATTAAAACCTTTACATCTTGACCCATTCCACACCCAGATCTCATTAGTAATTGTCCTTACTGTGTGCTATGGAATTCTTATGATGTTGTTTGAGAGAGTTTAGTGTTAGATTCTCCTAATTTATATTTTTCTTTTTTCTCATTCCTTGTCTGCTTGATATTTTACTGATTTGAGAGGAGAAACTCTGTCTTGGTCACTCAAGGGAGTTAAAGGGTGTAAACAGCAGTATTCACTTTGTCCGCACTGCACTACATACTTTTCCTATTGTTTTGACAAGGGGAATTTGTTTAAAATCAAGAGATTCTTAATTTGGCCTTGATGTTTGATAAAGAGGTAATACTGTAAAGAGAAATCAGATGCTATCGACAGTTAGGAACTAAAGGGTGACTTTATTAGGTGTAAAAATGTGTTTTTCTGACTTTTAGATTCAGAGTTTGCAAACTCAAAGCTCAAGAATAAGCTTGAAAGTTTCTATCCAAGCACCTGAGGTTATCATCCCTGTGAGTGCGACGTCTCGCGATGCACTTGTTGCAAATCTCGGTCACCTTAGTGTGTCAAACACCTTCAACCTTGCACATGATGGGGAGGATCCTGAAGGAAGTGATACTGTTGTTATTGACAACATGGTGGTGGATCTTAGTTCTGTAAAACTGTTGAGGTATAGATTTCATCGTTTATTCTAGCGATTTTGAAACACAGTGACCTAGTGGCTTGTGCGGCTGTGTATACCTTCAGCCTGAAGCCACTCCTTGTAGTCATTTGGGCAGGTGTTGAGCCACTTTGTTAAGATATCGTTTAAGGCATTCCAAACATAAGGAGACAGGCTTAAATTCAATAAAGTTCATGTTCTCACGGAATGCATGTGAGCATCCCATGTACGAGGTGTTCACGATAAGTCTTCAGTTCCCATTTAAACTTGCTATTGTTTCCTGGTACGAATTGCCTCAAATACGATTAATAATAATAATAACATTAGAACTGTAAAACTCAACCACACGTTACCAGGATTCCGTGTTGACTCTGGTAAATCCATGCAATCAAGAAATAGATTATGAAAGATGATGTTATTCAGTGAATGACACAGGCATACTTCGAAAAAAAATTCCAAGTGCCCCCAAAGGAGTCGAACACACGACCTTCTGATTAGTACTTGGGATACTCTGCCACTCAGGTTGAGCTCTAGCCTCGTGGAACTAAATCCACGGTAACAAATTTCCTGCAATCGATTTGAGATACTTTTGCACGATGATATAACTGAGGATGGTAAATTTTAAGCCTGGTGAAAGATGATGTTGTGCAGTGAATGACACAGGCGTACTCGGAAAAAGTATCTCCAAAAAGAAATGCATAGTTTGCTGCTAGGTGAAGGCAAAGAGATTGAAAATGTGAGCCACACTCGTGTCTGATAAAACAATCCTTTTTCTTTGTACAATAAGAGCTGTGATGACCGATGGAGAAACCATAGGACCTACTCAACTGGTCCTTGAACCAGCGAATCTGACAGTTCATGTGGCTCGAAACTTGTCTCCTTGGTATCACGATGTGCCTGATATCGATGTGAAGGGAAAGCTTCATGCAGTTAAGGTTAGTTTATTGATGAAAAGCATTTGGAAGGGGAATAAACAATTGAACAAATTGCAAACAGAATGGTTTGCTTTTCGTAGTAAGAAAAGCAAACGATTCTGTTTGCAAATGATTTGTTCCCACCACTGAATAATTTCAGTATCGGTATACATTCCCAAACTCGGTAGACATCCCTTCAGTCATATGGTGGCCTTTTGAATAAAGCAACTTGGACGTCTAGATAACTCTCCATGTTCCAAAAGAAAATATTTTTCCATTAAGGTACTTAGATTGCAATTTTAAGTGAGACTAATCGTGGGAAGAAAATCAAAGAACAGTGTGGCTGCCCATATTTCTTATGACTAAAAATTCAAGTTAAAATGTTTTTTTGGAGGGTACATGCCGTTAGTTAGCGTAAGTCAACGCAACTTAAAACATAACATCGACTAACTGCTGTGTTGGGTGAAAACGTACCAAAAAAAAAAGGGTGTGAATCTTCCTCATTCTAACTTTGTCAAAATTGCATTTAACCTTATCAGAAATTAGAGATTTTATATGGTATAACAGATATTTACCAGATATTTACATGTCACGTGTTCTGTCTTTGTACAGTTATGTGCTGGTGAAGATAAAATAAGAACTATACTAGGGATCTTGTTCAAGAATCTCAATGAAGGAGTCACATCTCGCACAGGTAAAGGTGTCGCAATGAGTAGCTACTGAAAATTTAGATTTTTGATTTTATGGTTATTTTGACACTGATCACAGATATTTTTACAATTGCAGAGGAGATAAGCACCATAGCACAAGATACAGTTGGTAAGATTCTTCATTTTTTTACATAGAATTCTCGGGAGTGTTATTATGACAACCCCAATTACCCTATAATGCCTCGTCCACTGTTATTACCACTCGTGTTAGTTTCCAGTTAAGGGTTTCGTTTGACGTTTAGGGTTGAAAATCAGGAGATGCAAGAACGATTAAGTTCTTTTTGCCTTTATTGTGAGGCAGTATGACACTAAAATGAGGAGGAACTAACATTCAGGCAAATATAACACTTAATCACTGGGTAAATGTTTTAGTCTAGGGCCTGAAATATAGACATCTAATTTACTTAATAAGGCTTAAATAGCCATGCCTTACCTTTCAGATTCCGCGGGCGTTGCCAGTCAAAGCCTGAGTGTTGCAGAACCAGCTTCGAGTGATGTTGTGTGGGACTTTGTGAAATTTTCATTTGATATTGAAGAAGTTTCAGCTGCGGTGTTCTGGGAGGAAAAGGTTAGTTAAATGTAATTTGGTATTATCAACTGAGTTGATAGCGTAAATTGGCCACTGTAAAGAATTTTAAAGCTGACGTTTCGCTCTGAGGAAGGGCTAACGCTCGAAACGTCAGCTTTGAAACTCTTTACAAAGGCCAATTTACGTTATCAACTTAGTTGGTAATACCAAATTACCCTGTTATACTCTCCCACTGACGCAGCACCACAGTTTCTTTAGGAACGTACCCCCGTTATAACTGCTAAAGGATCGTGCTAGGGGTAGCTAAGGTGGCTAGTGTAACATCCTAAAATGCTTTTGTCCATTTTTAAACGATGCTCCTTTGCCTCAGCCTACCGGCACCACGTCATCCAGAGATGCAGAATGCTGTTTAGGGCAGTTCTCGCTGGTCCAGGTTAAAGCCTCAGGGAGTATCAAATCCAACTCGGCAATAAAGGCCAGTGTGACGTTAGAGAGTTGTATTCTCGATGATAAAAGGCCGCAGAGTGAGGAAGGAGTCACAAGGTAAGAAATGATGCAATAATGTGTAGTTTACCAGTGTTACGTTTCTCATTTTGACTTTTTACTAATTTGTCGCCCTCTGTAATACAAGGAGTACTAGAGGCGCCCCAAGGCGTCGCCCCTTGAGTAGTTGCTTTAAGTTCCGTCGCCCCCTAGTGAAATTCTTTTGCTCCGAAATATGGTTGCATTGCCCCAATTGAAAGTTGCATTGTCCCCAACTTTTGATCTAAATTCGATTAAGTTTTTAAACGCGCATCATCATCCGGTGTCGTTCCAAAGCAATGATAACAGCCCTTCAAAACAAAGGGAAATCCAGTGAAGCCAATGAGAAGTCAAATTAGAAAGCAAGTCGCCCCGTTTTTTGGTAATCTATCTTATCATGGAGCGAACTAAGGGAATGTAATTGCGGATTAGTCTTGGCACTTAGTTGGTAAATGCTTCAAGTCTTTTATCATGTTAATCTATGCACTGGCTATCCATAGAAAAAAAATACAATGTTGGTTTTCAGGATGATTGAAAAGTTTAGTGGTGGTTCAAGTGATGTTGAAAACATGATCGATATTCAATTCCAGCAAACTGCTGCACAGGACAAAAACAGTAAGTTTGAGTATGATTTTCATTCTTATGGTCACGTTGTCATTTGGTGACAACTCAGCTTAGGGTGAAATTTTCCTTTCAAATGCATTTGTGGCTACCGAGAGATGCAAAGCTCTCCGTAACTTAGCAAGAATTTCTATGTTTGCTCTTGTGTTTGATAAGTTTGTTATAGAAGCAGCAAGATAAACGTCGAAAATTCCACCATTTTTTGTTTGTCAATCCATCATTGAATCTGAACCTAAAATGTAATCCGAAATTAAAATAATTTTTAATTCTAATTTAAAGGCCAAGTTTCATGTAGGCAGAACACTTTGTTCTTTGTTTTCATCCATGCTACTGCAGTACAAAATTGACTGTGATAACGAGGTAATTAATTTCAGAATATCAACCAGCAGATCAGTTTTCAATTGACTGACGTAAAACTAAAGTTATTACAATAGCCAAACATAACAAAGGTTTGTGACATCATTGATCAATGAGGACTCATTTAAAATAGGAAAATACAAAAAAGCGCGGGATAACGGGGGCAACCAAATTGCGATTGGTTATCTTTTGACGTCTGATTGGCTTGGAGCATTACGATTTTTAGACCAATCACAGACCGTAGTAAAGCAAAACCAAAGCAATCCCAGATTACTTTCGACATTCAATTGATAATTGCTTTATTTGTGGGTGGTTAAATGTGATTGAAACTAGAGTGTGTAGAATACATTAAGACATTAGGGTACCGCTTTTTTGAGGCCGAAAATTAAACTTGGCCTCGCCTTTTTCTGCTTACATATTCAGTTGAGATGGCAATACAGAGCTTCAACGCTGTAGTAAACTTGGAGTTTCTACTGGTTCTGTCTAAAGTGTTTACGTCAGCGTTAGCCACGGATGAATCAGACAGCACGTCATTGCTTGCCTCTCAACACGTATCTCAGGAGGTGGCCGTTACACATCCATCTGTATCTGTTGCGACCACCGATCACGAACCACCACAAATCGACGTTAAGATCGCCATTAAAGACCCAGAAATTATCTTGCTAGCAGACGGAAGAGACAAAAATACCAATGCTCTCTTCTTGAAGGTTAGTACATATCCAGCAGTGCATAGTTGGAAAAATAGAGATGGAAGTTCAAATACACTTAACCCTCTACATCATCAGTGTAAACATCAGTATGCGTTTTCTCCATACTGTTCTCTATACATTTCCTTAGGTGCTATCAAGGAGAATTTGGTTAACAATCAAGATTTTCTTTAGTTGATGATCATTTTCTTTATTCTAAGAAGAAATTAGATGCTAGTCACTTGAAGGGGTCAAAGGGTTGCACACTACTTTGCAACCAAACAAAAGAGGGTTCAAACGAGCAGTCAAGGATAGAAGCCAACATACCATAAGGCAAAGGGACAGACAGGCAAAAAAAATGGGCAGACAGACATACACGTATAGCCGGGAAAGAAACTACGTAAAAGAAAGAAAAATTGCTTTCGAAGCCACAGTTTAACCGAGCTTGTTGATGTAAAAAGTTACGGAGAAACATTGTTTTTAAAGGTATTCGCGAAGGGTGCATCGAGTTTGAAAAACGGCTTGTGATCCTTTTACTTAAGGATTGGATTCCCATGAAAAGTGGAACTATGATGGCTTACATCTCACGGATATGTTCTCAGTTCAGCCACTTCCCTCGTAAAATTTGTAGTAAATTAAATATTCATGTGTGTTTTATATTCTCAAACATAAGTGAAGAGTTTATTCGACGTTTTATATTTTTTTCTTGCAGAATACAATCGATTTCCGCTTTGTTCAGGGTCTTGGACAGCAAAAGATGTCGGGTTCTGTTTCAGATGTCGTAATTACCTCAGCATCGTTTGACAAGGAGAGAAGAGCTTCAACGAAATCCAGGGTGAAACTTTATTCCTTTTACTTGAGGGTGTAGTATATTGATCAGCGGCGCGACAACGTGGCTATAGGAGTCAACTTACCTTCCGGAGCTCCTGGGCTCGAGTCTTAGGTCACGATTGTAAATGGCGAACTGCCCGCTGGGATTTTCAACCTTGATGGAGAAACTTTCAATTGAGCGTCCAAATTAATCCAAGGTCTCTTTGGTTTAGTTTACTTTGTTGTGTGATTGGTCCAGAAAGTCGTGCTCCTTTCTTAACTAATCAGATTCAAAACTTCAACTAATTGCGACTTGGTCACAGGCTTTTTCTTGCGTTTTAGTCGCACTCAATCGAAATGCGCTCTATGCTTTAACCGAATGCGTGGTTTTTCCCAAAGAGTAGCCCAGATCCTCCGTGCTTTCTGCCTCAAAAACTTCTGAGAGTAAGCTCTTCATATGTTAAATGTTTCTCCCTGACAAATTATTTGAACACTTTACTCATAGTAATTCACTTCCTTTTCATTTGCAGGTTCTTCAGCTTTCGCATATATCTTTTGTAAGCTCGGCACCAGAAGGCGGTAGCATGCATATTGACGTATCGACAGCAATGGCGTACATACACGTGTCGCCTCCTACAATCGGGACATTAACAGCGTGTCTGATGTCATTAGCCCCAGCTAAGGTTTGTGTAGCGTACAGAATCATTGGTAAGAACGCACTTGGAAGGTTTGTGTGTCTCATAAACATGCTGATAAGAATAGTTTTTGAAAGGTTTCTATGACTTGTGAAATCCTTTTTCAACCCTTTCACTCCCAAGATTTCATTACTGAATCTCGTTACAGATTGATAGACAATTTTCATGATGTTGCTTCGGAGAATTTGTCATTGGGTCGACTGATAATCCCTTTGCTGATATTTTTCTTTATTCTCATCACTTGTTGCTTCATATCGTATTGTTAATGTGGTGAGAAGTTGTGTCTTGGTCACTCGTGGGAGTTATGGGGTCAAGAAACCATCCTTAGAAAATCCTTATTTAACGTTTTTATGACTTATTAACCGATACGAAATAGTCAGTTTGAATGTGCGCTCGTGTTTCATCCTTCGCATTCCCTTCCCTTTCGATTTTTTCTCTCCAGACGGAAGAAGACGGAAAGAAGGCAACTGAAAGTGCCGTAGACTTATGGAATGAAAAGCCAATTACGACTAAGGATCGATGGTATTTATCCCCAGGTGAGGCAAACATTACCGTTTATTTAACACATAAACTGCGGTGTTAGACAAGGATTTCAAGCCCTGAGAAAAGCCGAAACAACACACGTAAAAAAATATTGTATTTTTTCACGTGTGTTGATATAGCCAATCAGCTGCTTACACGTCAATCACCTTTGGCGGCATTCGGTCAATTTGATGAATGAACGGCAAAGCCTTCACGATTCTGAATACAAGTTGTTTGCTGGAGCTTTCTCGAATTATGTCGGCTAAAACACTAAAAATCCGTATCGCCGACAGACAATGAGGGTTAAACTTTCCTAGAAAGGAAAGAAAACCAATATACTAAAAGAAAAACCGAAAGTTGCGTATTCAGTGGCTTTGGTGTTAGCATTTCTGACGGCTGAGAATGAAAATAATAATAATAATAATAATAATAATAATAATAATAATAATAATAATAATAACAATAATAACAATAGGCTATTGTGTTTATATAATAAACAAAATAATACATGGTTGCCTGTAGATATGGAATTTCTCTTCTCGTTTTCAACTCAACATTTAACACTCGAAGAGAAATTCCATATCTACGCGCGCCCATGTATTATTCTCTATTTAACGTACTCTATGACTAGTCGAAGGAACCCTCTTCTGAGGGTGTTACAGTTATCCTTCCTGTTTCTGAGGTTGCGTGCAAATTATTTGTTCAGATGAAGTGAAAACGGGATGCTCTGCTTAGTATTTTACTTGTATATTGCCAAAAAAACATAAAAGTAATTTTTTTAGTTTTCATTGATGTAGAACTTTCAGAGTATCACGGCACGGTAAAGGTTTATCTTTAAGTATTCTATAGAGCCCAAAAGCAGGGCGTGAAATTGCGCCTCATACGGGCGCCAATGCGACTAAATTTTTCACTTTGGCGACCAAATCCTGAATCATAACCATACCTAGAGATAGAGTGAATTAAAAAGATTTGCAAAGAGAAATCCGTGGCAAACTTCCTCGTTAAGTTTGTTTAATTTCCAAAACGCAGCACATGCATCTCAATTGATAATTAGACGCTATCTTGGATTTAGGTGAGCTTGAACATTGTATATCACTCATCCTAGTGTCCACTTTGTAGAACTTTGTAGAACTTTGTAGAACTTTGTAGAACTTTGTAGAACTTTGTAGAACTTAATTTTGGAGGGTCTATCTA